TAGGAACTTTGTACTGACACCAAGGTCTGGTGTGAGTGTGCTTGTTGGTGGTGCCAACACAAGTGTCCAGTGTGTTGACTGAATCCTTGAGGTGATCTCCAGACTGCAGTGGATGACTGCCTTTGGTTCTATGATCACAAGCCTGACAGCAGGTTGCTATGAACTGCCTTTGGTGTCAATTGTTATCTGGACTGCAGGTTGCTATGAACCACCTTTGGATGTCAGTGAGTGGTGATACAACACACACACTACAATGGAAGCAATCTATTATGATTGCAACTGCTGGTGGAAACTAAGTATACTTATACTGGAGTGATACCTAGTTATGTATGGTGTAGAGTGGATGGTGATCCATGCAATTGCTATGATGAGGAGCATGGTTATATACCATCCTTGCAGTGTCACCTGTGACACTGCTCCTGTTCTGTGAGGCCCCCTCAACCCTATGTCTCCTCTTTGTCCTTCCTACCATTTTCCATCCACATTGAGCTGCTGCTTGCTGGCACTGCTTTCCTTTCTTCCTGTGGATGGATGGCCCTTGTGCTACTTCATCATCATCAGGGGCTGATCCCACTTCATCTGAGTGGTGACCTGCCTCCTTTCATCTCCCTCCTGTCACTAGTGCCCATCTGCCTGCACCGACTTCATCATTGTGCACAGCCCCTGCTTCATATGGTGGTGACTCCTCCCTTGTTCTCTGTCATCCCCTCACTGTATTGGCAATAGAGGTTTCTGTCAGGGGTCTCGCGCCTGAAACCCAGGTCGGTCTGTCGAGATGCTTGGTGACTATCAAACTGTGTGACAGCTATTGTCTCAGTATTGGTCTCGACAAGCTAGTTGTTTGGCAACTATCAAGTTGCATGATGACAGCAGGTGGCATTTGTTGTATATACTATCATAGGTTCTGGCTGACCTCTGTGGACACTCCGTTCAGGGGTAGCTCGGCATGATCAATATCAATACATAGGTTATGATGACACCAAGGTCTGGTGTGAGTGTTGATGGTAATGAGGTTGATGGTGTTGGTGATAAGGTTGGTGGCATCAACACGAGTGTCCAGTGTGTTGACTTGATGCTTGAAGTGATCCCTGGACTGCAGTGGACTACTGCCTTCAGTTCTATCTATATCTGGACTGCTGGTTTGCTATGAACTGCCTTCGGACATCAGGTAGTGGTGATACAACACACAAACTACAATGAGGAGCAACCTTGATAGATTGCTACTATGCTGACTGAAACTAATATATACTTATGCTGAAGTGATAACTAGTTATGATGTGTGTAGAGTGGATGAGGATCCACTTGACCTTTGATGATGAGAAAGTATGGTTATATACCTCTTCACAGCATCGCCAGTGATGCTGCTCTTGCTCTCTCTCCAGAGGGTACCTTCTTCATCAAGTACTGTTCAGGGGGCCTCTCCTGCTTGCTTGGCACCCCTGTGCCTCTTGAGCTGTGTTGACTCCTTCGACACTGCTCCTCCTCCTTGCTATCCTGCTTGTTTGGCACCCCTGTGCCTCCTGAGTGGTGACAACTCTGTCATGGGCCTGGATGCTCAAGAAGCAGGAGGGTCACTGGTTCATATGGACGGAGCACAGGTATCGAAGACCTAGTCGATACCAGTAGAGAGCATGGTCGTAGTGCAGTCTCCATGGAGACCATGGACTCCTATGGATTCACATGCAAAGGAGCACTGAGCCCATATGCGAGGAGGACCAGGCACAGCCACGAGGAGGACCAAGCTCAAAGAGCAGGCGCAGCCACGAGGAGGACCAAGCTCAGATGGTTACCACTCAGGGGCTCGAGAGACAGGAAGTCGACACAGGTCATGAGGAGGAGGAGCAGTGTCGAAGGAGTCGACACAGGTCATGAGGAGGAGGAGCAGTGTCGAAGGAGTCGACACCACTCAAGAGGCACAGGGGTGCCAAGCAGGAGAGGCCCCTGAGCAGTACTCGATGAAGAAGGTACTCTCTGGAGAGAGAGCAGGAGCAGCATCGCTGGCAATGCTGTGAAGAGGTATATAACCATGCTTTCTCATCATAGGTCGAGTGGATCCCCATCCACTCTACTCACCATATAACTAGTTATCACTTCAGCATAAGTATACATTAGTTTCAGTCAGCATAGCAGCAATCTATCAAGGTTGCTCCTCATCGTAGTGTGTGTGTTGTATCACCACTACCTGACGTCCGAAGGCGCCCATAGCAGGTTAGCGGTCCGGATCAAGATAGAACCGAAGGCAGTAGTCCACTGCGGTCCGGGGATCACTTCAAGCATCAAGTCAACACACTGGACACTCGCGTTGACACCACCAACCTTATCACCAACACCATCAACCTCATTATCATCGACATCACCAATCTTATCACCAACACCATCAACCTCATTATCATCGACATCACCAATCTCATCACCAACACCATCAACCTCATCATCATCAACACTCACACCAGACCTTGGTGTCATCATAACATTGATATTGATCGTGCCGAGCTACCCCTGAACGGAGTGTCCACAGAGGTCAGCCGAAACCTACGATAGTATATACCACGAATGCCACCAGCTGTCACTGCACAACTTGATAGTCACCGATACTGAGACAATAGCTGTCACACAGTTTGATAGTCACCGAGTATCTCGACAGACCGGCCTGGGTTTCAGGCGCGAGACCCCTGACATTAGAGTGGATCATTCAAGCAGCTCCTCACGATCACCATGACGGACCCAGACCTCAACAATAAGCTCGATAGACTACTCACTCTATTGGAAGCTCAGCTAGAGCTTACTAGGCAGGGTCATCGAGAGGAACGACTACAACGAGCTCAGCTGGGTAGGGAGGAGACAATGGACCTCTCTCACTCAGAAGACCAAGCAGGAGGAGGAGATGAGTCTATGATAGGAGACCCACATACTCCTACTCCTGCTCCACGATCAAGACAATCAGTCTCATTCAACCTGGATGAGCAGGAGGACATCAACTATGAGAAGTATGCCTCACCTACTGGGCCAAGATATGTCAAGACTAAGCTGGACCCCTACAGCAGGACTAGGACGGACCCTTACCCCCTGGACCACGAGGAGGATACCAGCATCATGGCAGAGCTTAACCGGTCAAAGCCCATTGCCACCCCCTTTCCAAAGTTCAATCCCTGAGACATGGAGATCTTCATTCTAGAAGCCGAAGCATGGTTTAAGTTCAACCAAGTGTATGAGCAGTCTAGGATGATCAATCACATGGGTGCTCAACTGGAAGGGACAGCAAGAGAGTGGTGGACCTCCAAGCTCCGTATTGATAGAGCTAGAGAAGGAAGGTTGTTCAATGATTGGCACTACTTCACAGAGCGACTGTCAGAGCAGTTCAACCCACGCAATGCTAGGATGGAGGCATACAACAAGCTGTTGGCTCTCAGACTCACAAGTGATACTCCTGGTGCTGCCACACGTCATGTAGAGCGGTTCAGAGACTTGGAAGGACAGGTCAACCTAGATGACAACGAGCTAGTGATTGATCTCTTCAGAGGTAGTCTCACTCGCAGCATACAGGAGAAGTTCGAGAGGAATCCACCTGGGAAGAGATGGGAGTGGTATCGAGAGGTTGAGGAGATCGATCGACAGAGGATGCTACTACAGCAGTCCTCGGCTAGACACTCACTCCCAAATGCCACATCACCTCCACTAAGAACTGGGTCTCGGCCAAATCAAAGTTCGATCCCCATCCGACAACCCACTCAAACTTATCCAGCTCGATCACCATCACAAGCAACTACACAAGCAACTATACAAAACCTAAACCGACCCCTTCCTCATCATCCCACCCAACCCTCGAAGCAAGGAAGCCCTGCTCCATCAGGTATCAACACCTGTCATGTATGCAAGGGTATCGGCCATTGGGCCAGAGACTGCCCCAGCAGGAGGGTAAACCCTCTTAGCTCTCGACCCATGGGACCAAAGGTTATGGTTGTCATGGGCCTGGATGCTCAAGAAGCAGGAGGGTCATAGGTTCATATGGAAGGAGCACAGGTATCGAAGACCTAGTCGACACCAGTAGAGAGCATGGTCGTAGTGCAGTCTCCATGGAGACCATGGACTCCTATGGACTCACATGCAAAGGAGGGCCAAGCACAAGCCACGAAGAGGACCAAGCTCAAGGAGCATGCAGATGGTTACCATTCAGGGGCTCGAGAGACAAGAGCCAAAGGAACTGTCACTGATCAAAGGAGGAGGAGCAGTGTCGAAGGAGTCGACACCAGGTCATGAGGAGGAGGAGCAGTGTCGACAAGAGGCACAGGGGTGCTAAGCAGGAGAGGCCCCTGAGCAATACTCGATGAAGAAGGTACTCTCTGGAGAGAGAGCAGGAGCAGCATCGCTGGCAATGCTGTGAAGAGGTATATAACCATGCTTTCTCATCATCATAGGTCGAGTGGATCCCCATCCACTCTACTCACCATATAACTAGTTATCACTTCAGCATAAGTATACATTAGTTTCAGTCAGCATAGCAGCAATCTATCAAGGTTGCTCCTCATCGTAGTGTGTGTGTTGTATCACCACTACCTGACGTCCGAAGGCGCCCATAGCAGGTTAGCGGTCCGGATATAGATAGAACCGAAGGCAGTAGTCCACTGCGGTCCGGGGATCACTTCAAGCATCAAGTCAACACACTGGACACTCGTGTTGACGCCACCAACCTTATCACCAACACCATCAACCTCATCATCATCAACACTCACACCAGACCTTGGTGTCATCATAACATTGATATTGATCGTGCCGAGCTACCCCTGAACGGAGTGTCCACAGAGGTCAGCCGAAACCTACGATAGTATATACAACAAACGCCACCTGCTGTCACTGCACAACTTGATAGTCACCGAGTATCTCGAGACAATAGCTGTCGCACAGTTTGATAGTCACCGAGTATCTCGACGGACCGACCTGGGTTTCAGGCGCGAGACCCCTGACATTAGAGTGGATGATTCAAGCAGCTCCTCACGATCACCATGACGGACCCAGACCTCAACAATAAGCTCGATAGACTACTCACTCTATTGGAAGCACAGCTAGAGCTTACCAGACAAGGTCATCGAGAGGAACGATTACAACGAGCTCAACTGAGCAGGGAGGAGACAATGGACCTCTCTCACTCAGAAGACCAAGCAGGAGGAGGAGATGAGTCTATGATAGGAGACCCACATACTCCTACTCCAGCCCCACGACCAAGACGATCAGTCTCATTCAACCTGGATGAGCAGGAGGACATCAACTACGAGAAGTATGCTTCACCTACGGGGCCAAGATATGTCAAGACTAAGCTGGACCCCTACAGCAGGACTAGGACGGATCCTTACCCCCTGGACCACGAGGAGGATACCAGCATCATGGCAGAACTTAACCGGTCAAAGCCCATTGCCACCCCCTTTCCAAAGTTCAATCCCCGAGACATGGAGATCTTCATTCTAGAAGCCGAAGCATGGTTTAAGTTCAACCAGGTGTATGAGCAGTCTAGGATGATCAATCACATGGGTGCTCAACTGGAAGGGACAGCAAGAGAGTGGTGGACCTCCAAGCTCCGTATTGATAGAGCTAGAGAAGGAAGGTTGTTCAATGATTGGCACTACTTCACAGATCGACTGTCAGAGCAGTTCAACCCACGCAATGCTAGGATGGAGGCATACAACAAGCTGTTGGCTCTCAGACTCACAAGTGATGCTCCTGGTGCCGCCACACGTCATGTAGAGCGGTTCAGAGACTTGGAAGGACAGGTCAACCTAGATGACAATGAGCTAGTGATTGATCTCTTCAGAGGTAGTCTCACTCGTAGCATACAGGAGAAGTTCGAGAGGAATCCACCTGGGAAGAGATGGGAGTGGTATCGAGAGGTCGAGGAGATCGATCGACAGAGGATGCTACTACAGCAGTCCTCGGCTAGACACTCACTACCAAATGCCACGTCACCTCCACTAAGAACTGGGTCTCGGCCAAATCAAAGTTCAATCCCCATCCGACAACCCACTCAACCTTATCCAGCTCGATCACCATCACAAGCAACTACACAAGCAACTATACAAAACCTAAACCGACCCCTTCCTCATCATCCCACCCAACCTTCGAAGCAAGGAAGCCCTGCTCCATCAGGTATCAACACCTGTCATGTATGCAGAGGTATTGGCCATTGGGCCAGAGACTGCCCCAGCAGGAGGGTAGACCCTCTTAGCTCTCGACCCATGGGACCAAAGGTTATGGTCACCACAGCAGACCCCTTCGAGGAGGCCACCGACTCAGGAGATGGCTACACAGGCAGCACTGAGACGGGTGACCCTGAGGCCATGGACCTCAGCTCATACCAGCAACCCATGGACCCCGATCACGAGGAGGAGCACAATGATGATGACGACGAGGGAAACGTCAGTGGGGTGATGCACTGATGGCATGCATTGCTCTACAAACCTCCTCGCCATCACTCTGTATATATCAAGATTGTCAAGTATGTTTCTCTACCAGTGGAGGCAAAGCAGTATTGGAGCTCTCTGGAATGGTTCAAGACCATCCTGCTCGGATACTAGCTGATACCGGTGCTGGTTTGTCCATAGTCTCAGATTCTTTCATTAGTAAGTACCAAATACCCACAAAACCCATAAAAACAAGATCGATCCATGGTGTCACCGGGCACCAACTCTCCATCAATAGTTCTGCGAGCATGCAGGTATCTATTGGTACACACAATCTGGGTGTGGTCGAAGCTTCAGTGGCCGACACTGCGGACTATGACCTCATCCTGGGGTTCACTGAGCTACGGAGGCTCAAACCCACCATACAATGGGATACGGGCCAGCTGGAGTTCAAGACTCAGGAGCAGGACCGACCCCCTAGGAGACCCCCTGAAGCAGCAAGAGCAGGGGACCTAACCATGAGGAGACCAACCCTTCATGGTAACGAGTTTGTCTCAGCAGAGCGCATACTACGAGCAGCTCTGGAAGATGGACCCATAGGGTTCATGCTGTTAGAGGAGCCACCATCATCACTCCCAGCCTTTGGTTTTGTACCTACAGGCGCAGACAAAGGAGTAGAGATGGAGGTAGAGGTGGACAAGGTGGTGATGGCTGCAGATATACCAAAGCCATACCAACACCTGCGAGATGTGTTTGATGAAGTGGAAGCAAACAAGCTGCCCCATCATACCAAGCATGATCTCCACCTCGAGTTGTTAGAAGGAGGTAAGCCACCTCAAGGGCCCCTGTACCTTAAGGGGCCCAAGGAGATGTCCAAGTTGAGGAGGTACTTGGATGAGAACCTCGAGAAGGGGTTCATAAGACCATCGAAGAGCCCGGCACGATCACCAGTGCTCTTCGTACCAAAGAAGGATGGAGGTCTCAGACTCTGTGTGGACTACAGAGGTCTCAACGAGATCACTGTCAAGAACAGGGCACCATTGCCCCTCATCGAGGAGCAGCTGTTCTTACTCAGGAAGGCAAGGATCTATACCAAGCTAGACCTTAGAGCAGCATACAACCTCATCCGGATTGCTAAAGGAGATGAATGGAAGACAGCTTTTGGCACTCAGTTGGGACTCTATGAGTACCTAGTGATGCCCTTTGGCCTAGCTAATGCTCCGGCTCACTTCCAGTCATTCATCAATGACATCTTCCGAGACATCATTGGAGTATATGTAGTGGTATACTTAGATGACTTCCTGATCTTCAGTGACACTGAAGAGGTACATGTGAAGCATGTCACCGAGGTCCTCACTCGCTTAAGGAGCAACAGGCTCTTTGCTAAGCTGTCGAAGTGTGAGTTCCACACCAAGACAGTCGAGTTCCTGGGGTACATCATCAAGCCAACGGGCATAGAGATGGACCCAGAAAAGGTGCGCACTGTCAAGGAGTGGCCAATGCCAGAGTCGATCCATGACATCCAGAGGTTCCTGGGTTTTGCCAACTTCTATCGAAGGTTCATAGCCCACTTTGCTCGCATAGCCAAGCCCTTGACAGCACTGGTAAAGCCTATAGAACGGTTCAAGAAGCTCGAGCTACCAGAGGAGGCCCAACAGGCCTTCCACAAGCTCATCCAGGCCTTCACATCAGCAGGAGTGCTTCAGCACTTCGACTACCACCTTCCCACAAGGTTGGAGACTGATGCAAGTGACTTTGCTATAGCAGGAGTGCTCAAGCAGGAGCATGAAGGACGATGGCATCCAGTGGCCTTCTACTCTAGGAAGATGTCTTCTGCCGAGAAGAACTATGAGATCCATGATAAGGAGCTCCTAGCTGTGGTCGCCTGCCTCACTCAGTGGCGACACATGCTAGCTGGACTACCGAACCAACTGGTCATCCTCACTGACCATGAAGCCCTCAAGTACTTCAAGTCACAGAGACGCATCACAGGTCGACAGGCTCGATGGGCCATACTACTAGCAGACTTCGACTTCATATTGCAGTATCGACCAGGAGACAAAGGTGGTGAACCCGATGCTCTTACCAGAAGGACAGACATGCAACCAGCTGGTGAAGAGCAGGATCACAATGTGAGGCAATTACTGCCTCCTCGAGTATTCAAGGAGACAGCAGACCATGACTCGCTCCTAGTGGCCCCCATGATCTCGATGGAGTCCATAGCATCAAAAGGTCTCAAAGACCTGGTCAAGATCTTCCAGCCTTAAGACCAAGAGCTACAGGAGATACATAGGAAGAAGCCTTTCGAACTCAAGGATGACCTATGGTACAGTGGAGGAAGGTTGGTTATCCCCAAGGTGATCATGCCAGGGAGGACCAACAACTGACACTCAAGGAGTGCCAAAGAGGTAGATGGACAGTCTCTCTCTGTAGAGCATCTGCGATTCATGGTGATGACCCAATGTCATGATGGTATCACTGCTGGACACGTAGGAAGAGATGCTACCATCAAGGCAGCTCAACGACATTACTGGTGGCCAAACATGACAGCTTGGATTGCAGACTATGTAGCAAGTTGTCCTGTATGTGCTAGGTACAAAGCTCCTCGTCATCGTCCATATGGTTTGCTACAGCCACTAGCAACCCCAGACAGGCCCTGGGGCTCCATATCCCTCGACTTCATTGAAGGACTACCACCATCAAAGAAGTATGACTCCAAGACCTATGACTCTATCCTAGTCATCGTCGACAGGTTAACTAAGTTTGCCATACTAGCTCCAACCCATAAGACAGTCACGGCCAAACAGACTGCAGTATTGCTATATGGACACATGGTTAGACTCTTCGGATATCCAGATCACATGGTCTCGGACCGAGGCAGGCAGTTCATATCAGGAGCATGGAAGGCATTTGCAGAGCAAATGGGTGTGAAGCACTCACTTAGCACGGCCTACCATCCTCAAACTGATGGTCAGACAGAGAGAGTCAATCAGGTCATAGAGCAATATCTCAGGATGTACTGCAACTATGAGCAGAATGACTGGGCCAACCTGCTGGACACTGCGGCCTTTGTATATAACAACACGGTCCACAACAGCATTGGTGTCTCACCATTCTTTGCATGCTATGGATGGAACCCCAAAGCTCATCCTGACATCCCTCAACGACTAGGAGTCAATGATCCAGGTCGCTTCGAGTACCTCATGGATGGAAAGGAGCGTTGCAAGTACCTCCAGGAGCAGATCAGAGAGGCACAACGTAGATCAGTAAACCAGTATAACAGGAAGCACAAGGACATCGAGTTTAAGGTGGGTGATATGGTCTATATCAACCGACGAAACTGGAAGACAAGGAGACCCACACCCAAGTTAGACACCCGGTTCGCAGGACCCTACCCAGTTCAGGAACGGATAGGACGCCGAGCTTATCGAATCACATTGCCAGCAAACCTTAGGGTGCATGATGTGTTCCATGTCTCCATGCTCGAGCCAGCAAGAACAAGTTCTCTTCCTCAACGTGCTGAACAGCCCACCATACCATCACTTCCAGATGAGGACCTCGATTTCGAAGTCGAAGCACTCATCGACAAGCGTTCACACAATGGGACTACGGAGTACAAGGTGTTGTGGAGAGGGTACTCAGAGGAAGCTGCTTCATGGGAACCAGTAGAGAACCTCAACTGTCCCGACCTCATCCAGGAGTATGAGGTGTCGGAGGGGGGACGAGTGAGTAGACAGAGTGGAGAGAGGAGGAGAGAACAGGAGGAGTAGAGAGAGGAAGAGGAAGGAGGATGACGTTGAGAAGAGGAAGGAGGATGACGTTGAGAGAAGGAGGAAGGATGATGTTGGCGACGTTGTCAAGGAGGAGGAGTCAGCATGAACCAGACCAGAGCATGCCTCGACGGAGCTCGGCTCTTAAGAGGGGGGTAGTGTCATGGGCCTGGATGCTCAAGAAGCAGGAGGGTCATAGGTTCATATGGAAGGAGCACAGGTATCGAAGACCTAGTCGACACCAGTAGAGAGCATGGTCGTAGTGCAGTCTCCATGGAGACCATGGACTCCTATGGACTCACATGCAAAGGAGGGCCAAGCACAAGCCACGAAGAGGACCAAGCTCAAGGAGCATGCAGATGGTTACCATTCAGGGGCTCGAGAGACAAGAGCCAAAGGAACTGTCACTGATCAAAGGAGGAGGAGCAGTGTCGAAGGAGTCGACACCAGGTCATGAGGAGGAGGAGCAGTGTCGACAAGAGGCACAGGGGTGCTAAGCAGGAGAGGCCCCTGAGCAATACTCGATGAAGAAGGTACTCTCTGGAGAGAGAGCAGGAGCAGCATCGCTGGCAATGCTGTGAAGAGGTATATAACCATGCTTTCTCATCATCATAGGTCGAGTGGATCCCCATCCACTCTACTCACCATAACTAGTTATCACTTCAGCATAAGTATACATTAGTTTCAGTCAGCATAGCAGCAATCTATCAAGGTTGCTCCTCATCGTAGTGTGTGTGTTGTATCACCACTACCTGACGTCCGAAGGCGCCCATAGCAGGTTAGCGGTCCGGATATAGATAGAACCGAAGGCAGTAGTCCACTGCGGTCCGGGGATCACTTCAAGCATCAAGTCAACACACTGGACACTCGTGTTGACGCCACCAACCTTATCACCAACACCATCAACCTCATCATCATCAACACTCACACCAGACCTTGGTGTCATCATAACATTGATATTGATCGTGCCGAGCTACCCCTGAACGGAGTGTCCACAGAGGTCAGCCGAAACCTACGATAGTATATACAACAAACGCCACCTGCTGTCACTGCACAACTTGATAGTCACCGAGTATCTCGAGACAATAGCTGTCGCACAGTTTGATAGTCACCGAGTATCTCGACGGACCGACCTGGGTTTCAGGCGCGAGACCCCTGACAATGGTCACCACAGCAGACCCCTTCGAGGAGGCCACCGACTCAGGAGATGGCCACACAGGCAGCACTGAGACGGGTGACCCCGAGGCCATGGACCTCAGCTCATACCAGCAACCCATGGACCCCGATCACGAGGAGGAGCACGATGATGATGACGACGAGGGAAACGTCAGTGGGGTGATGCACTGATGGCATGCATTGCTCTACAAACCTCCTCGCCATCACTCTGTATATATCAAGATTGTCAAGTATGTTTCTCTACCAGTGGAGGCAAAGCAGTACTGGAGCTCTCTGGAATGGTTCAAGACCATCCTGCTCGGATACTAGCTGATACCGGTGCTGGTTTGTCCATAGTCTCAGATTCTTTCATTAGTAAGTACCAAATACCCACAAAACCCATAAAAACAAGATCGATCCATGGTGTCACCGGGCACCAACTCTCCATCAATAGTTCTGCGAGCATGCAGGTATCTATTGGTACACACAATCTGGGTGTGGTCGAAGCTTCAGTGGCCGACACTGCGGACTATGACCTCATCCTGGGGTTCACTGAGCTACGGAGGCTCAAACCCACCATACAATGGGATACGGGCCAGCTGGAGTTCAAGACTCAGGAGCAGGACCGACCCCCTAGGAGACCCCCTGAAGCAGCAAGAGCAGGGGACCTAACCATGAGGAGACCAACCCTTCATGGTAACGAGTTTGTCTCAGCAGAGCGCATACTACGAGCAGCTCTGGAAGATGGACCCATAGGGTTCATGCTGTTAGAGGAGCCACCATCATCACTCCCAGCCTTTGGTTTTGTACCTACAGGCGCAGACAAAGGAGTAGAGATGGAGGTAGAGGTGGACAAGGTGGTGATGGCTGCAGATATACCAAAGCCATACCAACACCTGCGAGATGTGTTTGATGAAGTGGAAGCAAACAAGCTGCCCCATCATACCAAGCATGATCTCCACCTCGAGTTGTTAGAAGGAGGTAAGCCACCTCAAGGGCCCCTGTACCTTAAGGGGCCCAAGGAGATGTCCAAGTTGAGGAGGTACTTGGATGAGAACCTCGAGAAGGGGTTCATAAGACCATCGAAGAGCCCGGCACGATCACCAGTGCTCTTCGTACCAAAGAAGGATGGAGGTCTCAGACTCTGTGTGGACTACAGAGGTCTCAACGAGATCACTGTCAAGAACAGGGCACCATTGCCCCTCATCGAGGAGCAGCTGTTCTTACTCAGGAAGGCAAGGATCTATACCAAGCTAGACCTTAGAGCAGCATACAACCTCATCCGGATTGCTAAAGGAGATGAATGGAAGACAGCTTTTGGCACTCAGTTGGGACTCTATGAGTACCTAGTGATGCCCTTTGGCCTAGCTAATGCTCCGGCTCACTTCCAGTCATTCATCAATGACATCTTCCGAGACATCATTGGAGTATATGTAGTGGTATACTTAGATGACTTCCTGATCTTCAGTGACACTGAAGAGGTACATGTGAAGCATGTCACCGAGGTCCTCACTCGCTTAAGGAGCAACAGGCTCTTTGCTAAGCTGTCAAAGTGTGAGTTCCACACCAAGACAGTCGAGTTCCTGGGGTACATCATCAAGCCAACGGGCATAGAGATGGACCCAGAAAAGGTGCGCACTGTCAAGGAGTGGCCAATGCCAGAGTCGATCCATGACATCCAGAGGTTCCTGGGTTTTGCCAACTTCTATCGAAGGTTCATAGCCCACTTTGCTCGCATAGCCAAGCCCTTGACAGCACTGGTAAAGCCTATAGAACGGTTCAAGAAGCTCGAGCTACCAGAGGAGGCCCAACAGGCCTTCCACAAGCTCATCCAGGCCTTCACATCAGCAGGAGTGCTTCAGCACTTCGACTACCACCTTCCCACAAGGTTGGAGACTGATGCAAGTGACTTTGCTATAGCAGGAGTGCTCAAGCAGGAGCATGAAGGACGATGGCATCCAGTGGCCTTCTACTCTAGGAAGATGTCTTCTGCCGAGAAGAACTATGAGATCCATGATAAGGAGCTCCTAGCTGTGGTCGCCTGCCTCACTCAGTGGCGACACATGCTAGCTGGACTACCGAACCAACTGGTCATCCTCACTGACCATGAAGCCCTCAAGTACTTCAAGTCACAGAGACGCATCACAGGTCGACAGGCTCGATGGGCCATACTACTAGCAGACTTCGACTTCATATTGCAGTATCGACCAGGAGACAAAGGTGGTGAACCCGATGCTCTTACCAGAAGGACAGACATGCAACCAGCTGGTGAAGAGCAGGATCACAATGTGAGGCAATTACTGCCTCCTCGAGTATTCAAGGAGACAGCAGACCATGACTCGCTCCTAGTGGCCCCCATGATCTCGATGGAGTCCATAGCATCAAAAGGTCTCAAAGACCTGGTCAAGATCTTCCAGCCTTAAGACCAAGAGCTACAGGAGATACATAGGAAGAAGCCTTTCGAACTCAAGGATGACCTATGGTACAGTGGAGGAAGGTTGGTTATCCCCAAGGTGATCATGCCAGGGAGGACCAACAACTGACACTCAAGGAGTGCCAAAGAGGTAGATGGACAGTCTCTCTCTGTAGAGCATCTGCGATTCATGGTGATGACCCAATGTCATGATGGTATCACTGCTGGACACGTAGGAAGAGATGCTACCATCAAGGCAGCTCAACGACATTACTGGTGGCCAAACATGACAGCTTGGATTGCAGACTATGTAGCAAGTTGTCCTGTATGTGCTAGGTACAAAGCTCCTCGTCATCGTCCATATGGTTTGCTACAGCCACTAGCAACCCCAGACAGGCCCTGGGGCTCCATATCCCTCGACTTCATTGAAGGACTACCACCATCAAAGAAGTATGACTCCAAGACCTATGACTCTATCCTAGTCATCGTCGACAGGTTAACTAAGTTTGCCATACTAGCTCCAACCCATAAGACAGTCACGGCCAAACAGACTGCAGTATTGCTATATGGACACATGGTTAGACTCTTCGGATATCCAGATCACATGGTCTCGGACCGAGGCAGGCAGTTCATATCAGGAGCATGGAAGGCATTTGCAGAGCAAATGGGTGTGAAGCACTCACTTAGCACGGCCTACCATCCTCAAACTGATGGTCAGACAGAGAGAGTCAATCAGGTCATAGAGCAATATCTCAGGATGTACTGCAACTATGAGCAGAATGACTGGGCCAACCTGCTGGACACTGCGGCCTTTGTATATAACAACACGGTCCACAACAGCATTGGTGTCTCACCATTCTTTGCATGCTATGGATGGAACCCCAAAGCTCATCCTGACATCCCTCAACGACTAGGAGTCAATGATCCAGGTCGCTTCGAGTACCTCATGGATGGAAAGGAGCGTTGCAAGTACCTCCAGGAGCAGATCAGAGAGGCACAACGTAGATCAGTAAACCAGTATAACAGGAAGCACAAGGACATCGAGTTTAAGGTGGGTGATATGGTCTATATCAACCGACGAAACTGGAAGACAAGGAGACCCACACCCAAGTTAGACACCCGGTTCGCAGGACCCTACCCAGTTCAGGAACGGATAGGACGCCGAGCTTATCGAATCACATTGCCAGCAAACCTTAGGGTGCATGATGTGTTCCATGTCTCCATGCTCGAGCCAGCAAGAACAAGTTCTCTTCCTCAACGTGCTGAACAGCCCACCATACCATCACTTCCAGATGAGGACCTCGATTTCGAAGTCGAAGCACTCATCGACAAGCGTTCACACAATGGGACTACGGAGTACAAGGTGTTGTGGAGAGGGTACTCAGAGGAAGCTGCTTCATGGGAACCAGTAGAGAACCTCAACTGTCCCGACCTCATCCAGGAGTATGAGGTGTCGGAGGGGGGACGAGTGAGTAGACAGAGTGGAGAGAGGAGGAGAGAACAGGAGGAGTAGAGAGAGGAAGAGGAAGGAGGATGACGTTGAGAAGAGGAAGGAGGATGACGTTGAGAGAAGGAGGAAGGATGATGTTGGCGACGTTGTCAAGGAGGAGGAGTCAGCATGAACCAGACCAGAGCATGCCTCGACGGAGCTCGGCTCTTAAGAGGGGGGTAGTGTCATGGGCCTGGATGCTCAAGAAGCAGGAGGGTCATAGGTTCATATGGAAGGAGCACAGGTATCGAAGACCTAGTCGACACCAGTAGAGAGCATGGTCGTAGTGCAGTCTCCATGGAGACCATGGACTCCTATGGACTCACATGCAAAGGAGGGCCAAGCACAAGCCACGAAGAGGACCAAGCTCAAGGAGCATGCAGATGGTTACCATTCAGGGGCTCGAGAGACAAGAGCCAAAGGAACTGTCACTGATCAAAGGAGGAGGAGCAGTGTCGAAGGAGTCGACACCAGGTCATGAGGAGGAGGAGCAGTGTCGACAAGAGGCACAGGGGTGCTAAGCAGGAGAGGCCCCTGAGCAATACTCGATGAAGAAGGTACTCTCTGGAGAGAGAGCAGGAGCAGCATCGCTGGCAATGCTGTGAAGAGGTATATAACCATGCTTTCTCATCATCATAGGTCGAGTGGATCCCCATCCACTCTACTCACCATAACTAGTTATCACTTCAGCATAAGTATACATTAGTTTCAGTCAGCATAGCAGCAATCTATCAAGGTTGCTCCTCATCGTAGTGTGTGTGTTGTATCACCACTACCTGACGTCCGAAGGCGCCCATAGCAGGTTAGCGGTCCGGATATAGATAGAACCGAAGGCAGTAGTCCACTGCGGTCCGGGGATCACTTCAAGCATCAAGTCAACACACTGGACACTCGTGTTGACGCCACCAACCTTATCACCAACACCATCAACCTCATCATCATCAACACTCACACCAGACCTTGGTGTCATCATAACATTGATATTGATCGTGCCGAGCTACCCCTGAACGGAGTGTCCACAGAGGTCAGCCGAAACCTACGATAGTATATACAACAAACGCCACCTGCTGTCACTGCACAACTTGATAGTCACCGAGTATCTCGAGACAATAGCTGTCGCACAGTTTGATAGTCACCAAGTATCTCGACGGACCGACCTGGGTTTCAGGCGCGAGACCCCTGACAATGGTCACCACAGCAGACCCCTTCGAGGAGGCCACCGACTCAGGAGATGGCCACACAGGCAGCACTGAGACGGGTGACCCCGAGGCCATGGACCTCAGCTCATACCAGCAACCCATGGACCCCGATCACGAGGAGGAGCACGATGATGATGACGACGAGGGAAACGTCAGTGGGGTGATGCACTGATGGCATGCATTGCTCTACAAACCTCCTCGCCATCACTCTGTATATATCAAGATTGTCAAGTATGTTTCTCTACCAGTGGAGGCAAAGCAGTACTGGAGCTCTCTGGAATGGTTCAAGACCATCCTGCTCGGATACTAGCTGATACCGGTGCTGGTTTGTCCATAGTCTCAGATTCTTTCATTAGTAAGTACCAAATACCCACAAAACCCATAAAAACAAGATCGATCCATGGTGTCACCGGGCACCAACTCTCCATCAATAGTTCTGCGAGCATGCAGGTATCTATTGGTACACACAATCTGGGTGTGGTCGAAGCTTCAGTGGCCGACACTGCGGACTATGACCTCATCCTGGGGTTCACTGAGCTACGGAGGCTCAAACCCACCATACAATGGGATACGGGCCAGCTGGAGTTCAAGACTCAGGAGCAGGACCGACCCCCTAGGAGACCCCCTGAAGCAGCAAGAGCAGGGGACCTAACCATGAGGAGACCAACCCTTCATGGTAACGAGTTTGTCTCAGCAGAGCGCATACTACGAGCAGCTCTGGAAGATGGACCCATAGGGTTCATGCTGTTAGAGGAGCCACCATCATCACTCCCAGCCTTTGGTTTTGTACCTACAGGCGCAGACAAAGGAGTAGAGATGGAGGTAGAGGTGGACAAGGTGGTGATGGCTGCAGATATACCAAAGCCATACCAACACCTGCGAGATGTGTTTGATGAAGTGGAAGCAAACAAGCTGCCCCATCATACCAAGCATGATCTCCACCTCGAGTTGTTAGAAGGAGGTAAGCCACCTCAAGGGCCCCTGTACCTTAAGGGGCCCAAGGAGATGTCCAAGTTGAGGAGGTACTTGGATGAGAACCTCGAGAAGGGGTTCATAAGACCATCGAAGAGCCCGGCACGATCACCAGTGCTCTTCGTACCAAAGAAGGATGGAGGTCTCAGACTCTGTGTGGACTACAGAGGTCTCAACGAGATCACTGTCAAGAACAGGGCACCATTGCCCCTCATCGAGGAGCAGCTGTTCTTACTCAGGAAGGCAAGGATCTATACCAAGCTAGACCTTAGAGCAGCATACAACCTCATCCGGATTGCTAAAGGAGATGAATGGAAGACAGCTTTTGGCACTCAGTTGGGACTCTATGAGTACCTAGTGATGCCCTTTGGCCTAGCTAATGCTCCGGCTCACTTCCAGTCATTCATCAATGACATCTTCCGAGACATCATTGGAGTATATGTAGTGGTATACTTAGATGACTTCCTGATCTTCAGTGACACTGAAGAGGTACATGTGAAGCATGTCACCGAGGTCCTCACTCGCTTAAGGAGCAACAGGCTCTTTGCTAAGCTGTCAAAGTGTGAGTTCCACACCAAGACAGTCGAGTTCCTGGGGTACATCATCAAGCCAACGGGCATAGAGATGGACCCAGAAAAGGTGCGCACTGTCAAGGAGTGGCCAATGCCAGAGTCGATCCATGACATCCAGAGGTTCCTGGGTTTTGCCAACTTCTATCGAAGGTTCATAGCCCACTTTGCTCGCATAGCCAAGCCCTTGACAGCACTGGTAAAGCCTATAGAACGGTTCAAGAAGCTCGAGCTACCAGAGGAGGCCCAACAGGCCTTCCACAAGCTCATCCAGGCCTTCACATCAGCAGGAGTGCTTCAGCACTTCGACTACCACCTTCCCACAAGGTTGGAGACTGATGCAAGTGACTTTGCTATAGCAGGAGTGCTCAAGCAGGAGCATGAAGGACGATGGCATCCAGTGGCCTTCTACTCTAGGAAGATGTCTTCTGCCGAGAAGAACTATGAGATCCATGATAAGGAGCTCCTAGCTGTGGTCGCCTGCCTCACTCAGTGGCGACACATGCTAGCTGGACTACCGAACCAACTGGTCATCCTCACTGACCATGAAGCCCTCAAGTACTTCAAGTCACAGAGACGCATCACAGGTCGACAGGCTCGATGGGCCATACTACTAGCAGACTTCGACTTCATATTGCAGTATCGACCAGGAGACAAAGGTGGTGAACCCGATGCTCTTACCAGAAGGACAGACATGCAACCAGCTGGTGAAGAGCAGGATCACAATGTGAGGCAATTACTGCCTCCTCGAGTATTCAAGGAGACAGCAGACCATGACTCGCTCCTAGTGGCCCCCATGATCTCGATGGAGTCCATAGCATCAAAAGGTCTCAAAGACCTGGTCAAGATCTTCCAGCCTTAAGACCAAGAGCTACAGGAGATACATAGGAAGAAGCCTTTCGAACTCAAGGATGACCTATGGTACAGTGGAGGAAGGTTGGTTATCCCCAAGGTGATCATGCCAGGGAGGACCAACAACCGACACTCAAGGAGTGCCAAAGAGGTAGATGGACAGTCTCTCTCTGTAGAGCATCTGCGATTCATGGTGATGACCCAATGTCATGATGGTATCACTGCTGGACACGTAGGAAGAGATGCTACCATCAAGGCAGCTCAACGACATTACTGGTGGCCAAACATGACAGCTTGGATTGCAGACTATGTAGCAAGTTGTCCTGTATGTGCTAGGTACAAAGCTCCTCGTCATCGTCCATATGGTTTGCTACAGCCACTAGCAACCCCAGACAGGCCCTGGGGCTCCATATCCCTCGACTTCATTGAAGGACTACCACCATCAAAGAAGTATGACTCCAAGACCTATGACTCTATCCTAGTCATCGTCGACAGGTTAACTAAGTTTGCCATACTAGCTCCAACCCATAAGACAGTCACGGCCAAACAGACTGCAGTATTGCTATATGGACACATGGTTAGACTCTTCGGATATCCAGATCACATGGTCTCGGACCGAGGCAGGCAGTTCATATCAGGAGCATGGAAGGCATTTGCAGAGCAAATGGGTGTGAAGCACTCACTTAGCACGGCCTACCATCCTCAAACTGATGGTCAGACAGAGAGAGTCAATCAGGTCATAGAGCAATATCTCAGGATGTACTGCAACTATGAGCAGAATGACTGGGCCAACCTGCTGGACACTGCGGCCTTTGTATATAACAACACGGTCCACAACAGCATTGGTGTCTCACCATTCTTTGCATGCTATGGATGGAACCCCAAAGCTCATCCTGACATCCCTCAACGACTAGGAGTCAATGATCCAGGTCGCTTCGAGTACCTCATGGATGGAAAGGAGCGTTGCAAGTACCTCCAGGAGCAGATCAGAGAGGCACAACGTAGATCAGTAAACCAGTATAACAGGAAGCACAAGGACATCGAGTTTAAGGTGGGTGATATGGTCTATATCAACCGACGAAACTGGAAGACAAGGAGACCCACACCCAAGTTAGACACCCGGTTCGCAGGACCCTACCCAGTTCAGGAACGGATAGGACGCCGAGCTTATCGAATCACATTGCCAGCAAACCTTAGGGTGCATGATGTGTTCCATGTCTCCATGCTCGAGCCAGCAAGAACAAGTTCTCTTCCTCAACGTGCTGAACAGCCCACCATACCATCACTTCCAGATGAGGACCTCGATTTCGAAGTCGAAGCACTCATCGACAAGCGTTCACACAATGGGACTACGGAGTACAAGGTGTTGTGGAGAGGGTACTCAGAGGAAGCTGCTTCATGGGAACCAGTAGAGAACCTCAACTGTCCCGACCTCATCCAGGAGTATGAGGTGTCGGAGGGGGGACGAGTGAGTAGACAGAGTGGAGAGAGGAGGAGAGAACAGGAGGAGTAGAGAGAGGAAGAGGAAGGAGGATGACGTTGAGAAGAGGAAGGAGGATGACGTTGAGAGAAGGAGGAAGGATGATGTTGGCGACGTTGTCAAGGAGGAGGAGTCAGCATGAACCAGACCAGAGCATGCCTCGACGGAGCTCGGCTCTTAAGAGGGGGGTAGTGTCATGGGCCTGGATGCTCAAGAAGCAGGAGGGTCATAGGTTCATATGGAAGGAGCACAGGTATCGAAGACCTAGTCGACACCAGTAGAGAGCATGGTCGTAGTGCAGTCTCCATGGAGACCATGGACTCCTATGGACTCACATGCAAAGGAGGGCCAAGCACAAGCCACGAAGAGGACCAAGCTCAAGGAGCATGCAGATGGTTACCATTCAGGGGCTCGAGAGACAAGAGCCAAAGGAACTGTCACTGATCAAAGGAGGAGGAGCAGTGTCGAAGGAGTCGACACCAGGTCATGAGGAGGAGGAGCAGTGTCGACAAGAGGCACAGGGGTGCTAAGCAGGAGAGGCCCCTGAGCAATACTCGATGAAGAAGGTACTCTCTGGAGAGAGAGCAGGAGCAGCATCGCTGGCAATGCTGTGAAGAGGTATATAACCATGCTTTCTCATCATCATAGGTCGAGTGGATCCCCATCCACTCTACTCACCATAACTAGTTATCACTTCAGCATAAGTATACATTAGTTTCAGTCAGCATAGCAGCAATCTATCAAGGTTGCTCCTCATCGTAGTGTGTGTGTTGTATCACCACTACCTGACGTCCGAAGGCGCCCATAGCAGGTTAGCGGTCCGGATATAGATAGAACCGAAGGCAGTAGTCCACTGCGGTCCGGGGATCACTTCAAGCATCAAGTCAACACACTGGACACTCGTGTTGACGCCACCAACCTTATCACCAACACCATCAACCTCATCATCATCAACACTCACACCAGACCTTGGTGTCATCATAACATTGATATTGATCGTGCCGAGCTACCCCTGAACGGAGTGTCCACAGAGGTCAGCCGAAACCTACGATAGTATATACAACAAACGCCACCTGCTGTCACTGCACAACTTGATAGTCACCGAGTATCTCGAGACAATAGCTGTCGCACAGTTTGATAGTCACCGAGTATCTCGACGGACCGACCTGGGTTTCAGGCGCGAGACCCCTGACAATGGTCACCACAGCAGACCCCTTCGAGGAGGCCACCGACTCAGGAGATGGCCACACAGGCAGCACTGAGACGGGTGACCCCGAGGCCATGGACCTCAGCTCATACCAGCAACCCATGGACCCCGATCACGAGGAGGAGCACGATGATGATGACGACGAGGGAAACGTCAGTGGGGTGATGCACTGATGGCATGCATTGCTCTACAAACCTCCTCGCCATCACTCTGTATATATCAAGATTGTCAAGTATGTTTCTCTACCAGTGGAGGCAAAGCAGTACTGGAGCTCTCTGGAATGGTTCAAGACCATCCTGCTCGGATACTAGCTGATACCGGTGCTGGTTTGTCCATAGTCTCAGATTCTTTCATTAGTAAGTACCAAATACCCACAAAACCCATAAAAACAAGATCGATCCATGGTGTCACCGGGCACCAACTCTCCATCAATAGTTCTGCGAGCATGCAGGTATCTATTGGTACACACAATCTGGGTGTGGTCGAAGCTTCAGTGGCCGACACTGCGGACTATGACCTCATCCTGGGGTTCACTGAGCTACGGAGGCTCAAACCCACCATACAATGGGATACGGGCCAGCTGGAGTTCAAGACTCAGGAGCAGGACCGACCCCCTAGGAGACCCCCTGAAGCAGCAAGAGCAGGGGACCTAACCATGAGGAGACCAACCCTTCATGGTAACGAGTTTGTCTCAGCAGAGCGCATACTACGAGCAGCTCTGGAAGATGGACCCATAGGGTTCATGCTGTTAGAGGAGCCACCATCATCACTCCCAGCCTTTGGTTTTGTACCTACAGGCGCAGACAAAGGAGTAGAGATGGAGGTAGAGGTGGACAAGGTGGTGATGGCTGCAGATATACCAAAGCCATACCAACACCTGCGAGATGTGTTTGATGAAGTGGAAGCAAACAAGCTGCCCCATCATACCAAGCATGATCTCCACCTCGAGTTGTTAGAAGGAGGTAAGCCACCTCAAGGGCCCCTGTACCTTAAGGGGCCCAAGGAGATGTCCAAGTTGAGGAGGTACTTGGATGAGAACCTCGAGAAGGGGTTCATAAGACCATCGAAGAGCCCGGCACGATCACCAGTGCTCTTCGTACCAAAGAAGGATGGAGGTCTCAGACTCTGTGTGGACTACAGAGGTCTCAACGAGATCACTGTCAAGAACAGGGCACCATTGCCCCTCATCGAGGAGCAGCTGTTCTTACTCAGGAAGGCAAGGATCTATACCAAGCTAGACCTTAGAGCAGCATACAACCTCATCCGGATTGCTAAAGGAGATGAATGGAAGACAGCTTTTGGCACTCAGTTGGGACTCTATGAGTACCTAGTGATGCCCTTTGGCCTAGCCAATGCTCCGGCTCACTTCCAGTCATTCATCAATGACATCTTCCGAGATATCATTGGGATATATGTGGTAGTATACCTAGATGACTTCCTGATCTTCAGTGACACTGAAGAAGCACATGTGAAGCATGTCACTGAGGTCCTCACTCGCTTAAGGAGCAACAGGCTCTTTGCTAAGCTGTCAAAGTGTGAGTTCCACACCAAGACAGTTGAGTTCCTGGGGTACATCATCAAGCCAACGGGCATAGAGATGGACCCAGAAAAGGTGCGCACTGTCAAGGAGTGGCCAATGCCGGAGTCAATCCATGACATCCAGAGGTTCCTGGGTTTTGCCAACTTCTATCGAAGGTTCATAGCCCACTTTGCTCGCATAGCCAAGCCCTTGACAGCACTGGTAAAGCCTATAGAACGGTTCAAGAAGTTCGAGCTACCAGAGGAGGCCCAACAGGCCTTCCACAAGCTCATCCAGGCCTTCACATCAGCAGGAGTGCTTCAGCACTTCGACTACCACCTTCCAACAAGGTTGGAGACTGATGCAAGTGACTTTGCTATAGCAGGAGTACTCAAGCAGGAGCATGAAGGACGATGGCATCCAGTGGCCTTCTACTCTAGGAAGATGTCTTCTGCCGAGAAGAACTATGAGATCCATGATAAGGAGCTCCTAGCTGTGGTCGCCTGCCTCACTCAGTGGCGACACATGCTAGCTGGACTACCGAACCAACTGGTCATCCTCACTGACCATGAAGCCCTCAAGTACTTCAAGTCACAGAGACGCATCACAGGCCGACAAGCTCGATGGGCAATACTACTAGCAGACTTCGACTTCATATTGCAGTATCGACCAGGAGACAAAGGTGGTGAACCCGATGCTCTTACCAGAAGGACAGACATGCAACCAGCCGGTGAAGAGCAGGATCACAATGTGAGGCAACTACTGCCTCCTCGAGTGTTCAAGGAGACAGCAGACCATGACTCGCTCCTAGTGGCCCCCATGATCTCGATGGAGTCCATAGCATCAAAAGGTCTCAAAGACCTGGTCCAGATCTTCCAGCCCTTAGACCAAGAGCTACAGGAGATACATAGGAAGAAGCCCTTCGAGGTCAGGGATGACCTATGGTACAGTGGAGGAAGGTTGGTTATCCCCAAAGTGATCATGCCAGGGAGGACCAACAACTGACACTCAAGGAGTGCCAAAGAGGTAGATGGACAGTCTCTCTCTGTAGAGCATCTGCGATTCATGGTGATGACCCAATGCCATGATGGTATCACTGCTGGACACGTAGGAAGAGATGCTACCATCAAGGCAGCACAACGACATTACTGGTGGCCAAACATGACAGCTTGGATTGCAGACTATGTAGCAAGTTGTCCTGTATGTGCTAGGTACAAAGCTCCTCGTCATCGTCCATATGGTTTGCTACAGCCACTAGCAACCCCAGACAGGCCCTGGGGCTCCATATCCCTCGACTTCATCGAAGGACTACCAACATCGAAGAAGTATGACTCCAAGACCTATGACTCTATCTTAGTCATTGTCGACAGGCTAACCAAGTTTGCCATACTAGCTCCAACCCATAAGACAGTCACGGCCAAACAGACTGCAGTATTGCTATATGGACACATGGTTAGACTCTTTGGATATCCAGATCACATGGTCTCGGACCGAGGCAGGCAGTTCATATCAGGAGCATGGAAGGCATTTGCAGAGCAAATGGGTGTGAAGCACTCACTTAGCACGGCTTACCATCCTCAAACTGATGGTCAGACAGAGAGAGTCAATCAGGTCATAGAGCAATATCTCAGGATGTACTGCAACTATGAGCAGAATGACTGGGCCAACCTGCTGGACACTGCGGCCTTTGTATATAACAACACGGTCCACAACAGCATTGGTGTCTCACCATTCTTTGCATGCTATGGATGGAACCCCAAAGCTCATCCTGACATCCCTCAACGACTAGGAGTCAATGATCCAGGTCGCTTCGAGTACCTCATGGATGGAAAGGAGCGTTGCAAGTACCTCCAGGAGCAGATCAGAGAGGCACAACGTAGATCAGTAGACCAGTATAACAGGAAGCACAAGGACATTGAGTTTAAGGTGGGTGATATGGTCTATATCAACCGCCGAAACTGGAAGACACGGAGACCCACACCTAAGTTGGATACCCGGTTTGCAGGACCCTACCCAGTTCAGGAACGGGTAGGACGCCGAGCTTACCGAATCACATTGCCAGCAAACCTTAGGGTGCATGATGTGTTCCATGTCTCCATGCTCGAGCCAGCAAGAACAAGTTCTCTTCCTCAACGTGCTGAACAGCCCACCATACCATCACTTCCAGATGAGGACCTCGATTTCGAAGTCGAAGCACTCATCGACAAGCGTTCACACAATGGGACTACGGAGTACAAGGTGTTGTGGAGAGGGTACTCAGAGGAAGCTGCTTCATGGGAACCAGTAGAGAACCTCAACTGTCCCGACCTCATCCAGGAGTATGAGGTGTCGGAGGGGGGACGAGTGAGTAGACAGAGTGGAGAGAGGAGGAGAGAACAGGAGGAGTAGAGAGAGGAAGAGGAAGGAGGATGACGTTGAGAAGAGGAAGGAGGATGACGTTGAGAGAAGGAGGAAGGATGATGTTGGCGACGTTGTCAAGGAGGAGGAGTCAGCATGAACCAGACCAGAGCATGCCTCGACGGAGCTCGGCTCTTAAGAGGGGGGTAGTGTCATGGGCCTGGATGCTCAAGAAGCAGGAGGGTCACTGGTTCATATGGACGGAGCACAGGTATCGAAGACCTAGTCGATACCAGTAGAGAGCATGGTCGTAGTGCAGTCTCCATGGAGACCATGGACTCCTATGGATTCACATGCAAAGGAGCACTGAGCCCATATGCGAGGAGGACCAGGCACAGCCACGAGGAGGACCAAGCTCAAAGAGCAGGCGCAGCCACGAGGAGGACCAAGCTCAGATGGTTACCACTCAGGGGCTCGAGAGACAGGAAGTCGACACAGGTCATGAGGAGGAGGAGCAGTGTCGAAGGAGTCGACACAGGTCATGAGGAGGAGGAGCAGTGTCGAAGGAGTCGACACCACTCAAGAGGCACAGGGGTGCCAAGCAGGAGAGGCCCCTGAGCAGTACTCGATGAAGAAGGTACTCTCTGGAGAGAGAGCAGGAGCAGCATCGCTGGCAATGCTGTGAAGAGGTATATAACCATGCTTTCTCATCATAGGTCGAGTGGATCCCCATCCACTCTACTCACCATATAACTAGTTATCACTTCAGCATAAGTATACATTAGTTTCAGTCAGCATAGCAGCAATCTATCAAGGTTGCTCCTCATCGTAGTGTGTGTGTTGTATCACCACTACCTGACGTCCGAAGGCGCCCATAGCAGGTTAGCGGCCCGGATCAAGATAGAACCGAAGGCAGTAGTCCACTGCGGTCCGGGGATCACTTCAAGCATCAAGTCAACACACTGGACACTCGTGTTGACACCACCAACCTTATCACCAACACCATCAACCTCATTATCATCGACATCACCAATCTTATCACCAACACCATCAACCTCATTATCATCGACATCACCAATCTCATCACCAACACCATCAACCTCATCATCATCAACACTCACACCAGACCTTGGTGTCATCATAACATTGATATTGATCGTGCCGAGCTACCCCTGAACGGAGTGTCCACAGAGGTCAGCCGAAACCTACGATAGTATATACCACGAATGCCACCAGCTGTCACTGCACAACTTGATAGTCACCGATACCGAGACAATAGCTGTCACACAGTTTGATAGTCACCGAGTATCTCGACAGACCGACCTGGGTTTCAGGCGCGAGACCCCTGACAAACTCCTTCAACACTGCTCCTCCTCCTCAGGACCTGCTTGCCAGTTCCCTATACACTGCTCCTTCTCCTTTGACTGGTGTTGGTTCCTTTGACTCTTGTCTCTTGAGCCCCTGAGTGGTAACCATCTGCATGCTCCTTGAGCTTGGTCCTCTTCATGGCTGTGCCTGGCCCTCCTCACATGTGAGTCTGTAGGAGTCCATGGTCTCCATGGAGACTGCACTACGACCATGCTCTCTACTGGTATCTACTAGATCTCCGATACCTGTGCTCCTTCCATATGAACCAGTGACCCTCCTGCTTCTTGAGCATTCAGGCCCATGACAGTTTCTCTCAAACTGATCCCTGTGTGGCCTGTTGTAGTGAGCGTGATCCTGCTGATTCTACTGACTCCTGTAATAGGACCTGTGTTCCTACTGATCACAACGAGTTATGTCATTGAGTCATTGATCCTACCGATCTCACTGATCCCTGTTGGAACTCTACTTTCCTGCTGATTCCACTCCTGTAACAAGACCCATGCTCCTACCAATCATGATGGGTTATGTTGTAGAGCCATTGTTCCTACTGATCTCACTGAACTCTGTCAGAACTCTACTTTTGCCCAATCCATGATGGTTGCACCAGATCTCTTCATATGAGTTCCGTTCTTCCTGCATATCCATCCAGTCCCATGACACTATGGAAGCCTTTGTAGCAGAAGTGCTCTTAACTGTGCACTCCAGGCTTCCAGGCAAGAGGGATGTGCATGCCATCCACCACAAGCCAGCCCTTACCCCACTCTTCAACCCCAGTTGTATTGTGCACCCAGGCAGAAGCATGTTGTCTCTCTCCCTCTGAAGCAAACTGCATGACCTCATTGTTTAGCTCGAGGAGGCCAGCAACTGTGTGATTGGTGTATCCAACAATGCTCCCAACACTGCAGCTGCATTGCAAAACAGCATCATGTTCACCACCTCCATCTCCAGAATGGCCTAGTCTGTACAGAGCCACCAAAAGGATCTCTTGCACTCTGTTGAGAGACATCACACCTGAGCTGCTGTAGTTCCACTGGAAAGCCTCTGTTTGCTGGAGTTGGATGGCAAGATTGTTGAATGCTTCAGGGGACATACAAACAAGTCCATGATACATCCTATGATTGCTTGATTCATACTTGTTGAGAAGGTGGATAAGCTTATTGGCATGGCCAAGAGGATTGTAACATGCAATCGTGTACCTTTGCTTGCATATGAGAGTGTACAAGCAGACAAGGTGTTGTGAGAGTGGAAGTGGGTTGCCATTGTCATCCAAGTCATTGATGTTAGTGCTGCAGGAGTGCTGCACTCTGTCAGCATTTTGTTTGATCTCTGCAGGTATAGAGAGCTCAAGAGTGCAGACAATGTTGTTGAGAATTACTTGCTTGTCACTGTAGTGCACCATGGCTGGAAGGAGCAAGGAGGATGGAGAGGGAGCATGGAGAGGAAGGATGAAGAGGGAGCATGGAGAGGAAGGATGAAGAGGGAGCATGGAGAGGAAGGGTGAAGAGGGAGCATGGCAATGAGAGTAATGCTGAAAGGTTGCATCTCGCGCCTGAAACCTGATATCTGTAGTAGAACCGCTTCTATTACAGACCCTGTCGAGATATGTGATAAGATACTGTGTATGATTATTTTGGTCAAGATCTGTTGTAGAAGGCCTCTATGACTTTTCTCACTCAAATATGTGAAAGATTGGTTGCTATTGCAGGTTTCGACTGACCACTGTGGACACTCCATCCAGAGGTAGCTTGGCATGATCAATAACAATGGATGAATTGCTATGACACCAAGGTCTGGTGTGATTGATGTTGTTGATGCCAACACAAGTGTCCAGTGTGTTGACTGAATGCTTGAGGTGATCCCTGGACTTCAGTGGATGACTGCCTTTGGTTCTAATGATCAAGAGAGCCAGACTGCAGTATGAACTGCCTTCAGAATGTCAATCATTGTCAATGAGCAGTGATACAACACACACACTACATAGAAGCAATGCTCTGCAATTGCTACTGTTGATGGAACTACTAATGTATACTTATGTGAAGCTATAACTAGTAATGTATGGTGTAGAGTGGATGGGGATCCACTCAACTACTACAGCAAGGAGCATGGTTATATAGCCATTCCTGCAATGTTGCCTGTGACACTGCTTCTGTTCTGGGAGTCCTCCCCCAATGCTGCTGCTCCTCCTCTTATCTTCCTTGTGATGCTGCCCCTTGACATTGCTTCCTTTGCTTCCTGTGGATGGACAGTCCTCATACTGCTTCATAGCCAACAGGGGCCATTCCCACTTCATCTGGGTGGCA